TAGACAATTAAATAAATATTCTTTTCAAAAGACGAAAATTCCCGTTATTTTCTGAACACACCTCGTACTTTGTTTATTTTAAAATTAAAGCATGAAAATATTAAAAGAAACAATAATTTAGGACTCCCAAATTTTTATGAAAAAGCCCTTTAGCGAGAACATTGTACCTGTTGTCCTCGTGATTATTGCAATAGTGTTTAGTTGTCGGAAAATTACGAATAAGCACTTTTCCGAAGTCGAATGTAGTCATTCTTCATTAAAGAATATACAATTATTGTATTATTTTTAACCAATAATTTTATTTTATTTTTATTGTTATTGCTGTTTTTTTTTATATATATATATATATTTTTCCCTTTCTTTGTTTATTTTAACATGTCTTTAATTAGTCATTTTTACAAATTTTTATTTTTAATTTGTATTAATCTGATGAGTCAAATATCAATCGTAAAATAATTATTTTTCAAGCTGTATTATCAAATCTCAACTATTGGAGCCCCGTAGGGTTTAGCTGTCCCAGGTCAAAAATTACTCTAACCAATAATATTTAGTCGTTAAATAAAATTTTTTCACCCTCCCCCTATTGAGTGGCTTCATTAATGAATAAACAATCAAGAGTTCTTTATTCTTTAAAGTTACTTATTAATTTATATTTTTTTGATGCCATCCTCATTGAGGTAATAAAAATTTGTTGGAATATTTTCTACAATAATAATAATGTAAAAATTATAAATGACTTAGACAAAAATTTAATTAATAATTTGATGTTGTATGTTTTCCAAAAATATTGCAGTATAACTAAANAATTATAAATGACTTAGACAAAAATTTAATTAATAATTTGATGTTGTATGTTTTCCAAAAATATTGCAGTATAACTAAATTTATATACTTTCTTTGTTATAAAAATTACAAAATAGAACTTGTTTTAATCAGATTAAACAATTTTGTAGTTAACAATTCAATAGTGTTCGTTCACTGGTAATATCACCCTATTTAAAATTCAAAACGAATATATTTAATAATAAATAAATTTTAATGATATTTGCATATTCGATGAAACGATTATTCGAAATAATCATAGAATAGGTTAGATAATATCTAAATTATTATACAAATATATTAAGTGTGATGTAATCACTTATAATCAATGTGATAATAGATGCTTCATAGATAATAAACAATTTTGTTATCAATGACTTTTGTAGAAATGTTTCAAAATATTTTACGGTAAAAAGCTTCTAATGTTAAACGGGATTAAATATTTATTAAATAATTTTTATTTAAGTAAATTTATAGTTTTAGTGTATTTAGTAATGATAGTAACTATAAACTCATGTAATTTTATAGATATTTTGAACATAAAATTGTTTGAAAAAAAATATTTTAGTATTTTTTTTTTTGTTACAAACTGTATAAAAATTATTTGTAAACATAAATTAAAATAAGAATAAGTTAATGATTAAGTTATGCAATGAGTATATTAAACGATAAATGTTTGATATCTAATTTATTGTTTTAAAAATAATTTTGAGTGACACATCCTAAATCTCAACCTTTAATTTAGGTAATGAAATTTTTATTGTTATTGTCTAATATAAATGTAAAAGCAATATTTATTGAAAANTTGTTATTGTCTAATATAAATTTAAAAGCAATATTTATTGAAATGTTTTTTTGATATTTTAAGTAACATATGTATAATTTTTTATGTTAGGATGATATTTCTTAAAAAATAGAAACTATTATTTCTATGTATCTGCTCTAGCTATTGTTTGAACCAAATATTGTGCCAGTATTTAAAGTGACAATGAGTTCGACTAGCTTAAATAAAATGCCAGATGAAGTTTTGCTCATAGTATTCAGATATACTTCAGCTGCTGATTTTGTGACATCATTACCAGTTGTATGTGATCGTTGGGCTGAACTTGTTTTGTCTGATACTCATACTCTAAATCGAATTGGAATACAACAACATCCATATGGTCGGGTATCATTTTTTTATTTACACAATAAGTATGAACATTTGATTGATCACACCGCAAAAGAACATGAGAATTTGTTTCATTTTGCTCATAATTTTCAACTTATTGATTATTCTCACGTGTTTGAATTAAGCATTCAATACTCAAATATTTACCAACATCTTAAAACCTTAGTGATATCAAATAGCCTTCAAGCTTACCGAACTGAAGGTTTCATCTGTTTGAATAATTTGTCTGAAATAACATTTTATAATATACACATTCGTGAAACAGATTGTTACACTTTGACAGAATTATCTAGTGTATTTTCAAATGTGCAAAATGTTTCTTATGTTAATTGTCGATTTTCAGCACAAATTGAACAGGATTATTTACATAGTTTTTTTAAAAATATAAAGCGTTTTCGAATGGATCATTATTCAGTTAGTGATAGAATGCTGAAAAAGTTATTGACCTCACATCCTCAATTAATAAAAATAATTTTTTCTATGTGCACTGTAATGAGTGATGGTTGGTTAGAGGAAATTATGGATAATCTTGGTAGGAGAACTGTGGTGTATCTCGAAATTCATAGTTCTTATTTTACTGATAAATGTATTGCCAAATTTCTTCATAGCAAAGTTGTGACTGATCTTTCTAAAATACACATTCACAAGGATAAACATAATATTCCTTTTAAACTAATTATGGCTTAAAATACTTTTAGTAGATTATACTTCATTATATTAGAAATACTATTTATATATATATATATATAAATAACACTAAGACTTTAATTTCCAAATAAACAATATTTATTTTTCAAAAAAATTTGTTTAAAAAATGAAATGTTAATAATATAAACCATTTATTTTTGAAATATTTAATTGTTTAATTTGTTTTATGTAATACTCTTATTATTTCTGAACACTGTGAAAAAAATAAATAGTGAACTACATGCACTCATAAAATTTAATAATTTTGAGTAAATTTAAAGTTCACATTTATCCTTCAATAATAATATTGAGGAAAAAATATATATATAAATAAACACATATAAAATTGAATGGTCCTTAGTCAAATGGAAAGTGTAGTTATTTTATTTTATAGTTTTGCACTTATCTTATTTTTCCAAAATGTGACTCTGGCTCCTTCATTGTTAGGTATCTCATATAATTTCTTATAGCTCAAACAATGAACATCCAATTATCAATTTATTAAGAGTTCTGATCAATTACTAATGAGATTATTAAGTTTATTATGAAACAATAAAAGTAGACCATAGTGCAACAACAAAACATTTTTTAAATTTTTTCAGGAGATAAAAAATTATTATAAATTCTAAAAGAAAATTTTAGACTTGCGAAGAATGTTTTATTTTAAGGTATATTAACACTTTAACTTGAAAATATTGATTAACTAGTAATAAAGGAAATAAAAAATATAATCTTTTCATTTTGAACCATAGTTAAATACTAATCACTTAATAGTATGTATTTCTGCAAAAATAAATATACATTATTTGATACAGAATTTTTTATTAGATTTTATAAGTTATGAAAAAAAAAAATTGGCACATTTTGTGGTTGCTTAAAAATTATTGATTAATTATATTTTATTTTTAGATTTTATCTAACCTAATAATTTCTACTTTATGAAATCAAAATTATATTATATGAAATATAATATAATGTATTAATATACAGGGTGTTCCTTACTGAACCTATATATATATATTTATATAGAGTTACCTTTAATATGAAATTTATATAAATTCATGATTGAGGAGCCTACACATCTCAAAAAAAAAAAATAATAATAAACTTTACTCAATAATATCAAATAAATCTTCTTCTTCTTCCTCGCCTTAATCCCAACTACTTGAGGTCAGCCACTTAATAATATCAAATAAATATAAATTTCAATAGGTTTAACCTCCTGCACTAACAGGGCTAATAATAAAGAAGCCTAAACTATTTTAGAAATTAAATATATTTTTATCAGATCTAAGTATATCATTTAATTATAATTTAATGGTTATTTTTAATTTAAAAAAATCATTATCACTTAAAAATACAATTTTTATCTCAATTTTAATATTTATAATTTAGGAACTTTATTTAAAGACGTGAAAATTTTTAATTGAGGTTATAAATTATACAAAGATAATAAAGCAAAATGTACAACTCATTCTATTTTATCGTAATTGGCATGTTTTTTTTATTATTTTTTCTACTACACACTTGTGTATACATTTATATTAAAATAATATTAAAATCTACAAAAAAAAAAAAATAATAATATTAATCGGTAAACAAACATGAAACACTATATATATGTAACTTACTATTGAAAAATATTTTTGATGTGTTAATGAAATACATTATACATATGGTAAATAGTCAAAAAATATTATTATTATTAATATATTAAATAACAAATATAATATTTCAACAGCTCTTCATTTGACAATATCACACGGTCATTTGAAAAATCACGTAACGCTTTTTTTTTTTTTGTAGAAGTATGAAATCTAATGTTTAATTATAAAATTCAGACTAGCTCTTAATAAAAAATAAAAATTAGCAATAAATAAAAAAGGTAATGAGTTTTTTTTTAACTAATACTTAAAAATAAACATTATTTTGTCTCTAAAGCGCTGTCGTATAATACTACATAGGTAAATAATACTTGTACAAATAATAAGTAAACCAGATCATCCAGTAATTTTAAGTCATCAGTTGTACCAGAGTAACAAAAACATCCGGGTTTAAATTAATGTTTGCTCACATTACAAGTGCAGATTCTGGCTCCATTATTGAGTTTAAAGCTTTTGGACTTTCTGCATTGTTATCGTATAACTCTTTGGTTTTCATTGACCTTTCTAATCCTTTAAAATATATCGACCAACTATAAAATTTTCATCATTAATGAGTTTTTTAATAGTCACATACCCGAAGGTCGAAGCACCAGGTAATGTAGGATATCGGACAATGATAGTATACCAATAACTTTATCTTCTGTGTCCACTATTACTAACCTATGTACCTATAATTAAGGTATTATTAAATACTTGTTAATGGTTATACTCGATAGTGAAAAATTAAAGAAATTACTTCTGCTCTGACAATTTTTTCAATAACACAATATAGTGTGTCAGTTAACAGACACTTTTGAACACCTTCAAACCAATCACTTCGGTGTTCATTAGCTTGTTTAAGACTAACATCTAAATTATTATATGTACGTTCAGCAGCTAAATTCTAAAAAATTAATAATGTATTATGATCAATACTCCTATAAATTTTATAATATATAAAAACTTACAATTACGTCAAATTTAGCAAATATATCAACAAGACGACCTTCATTATCAACCATTGGTAATGCAGATACTCTACGTTCCACAAATTTTTTTAAAGCTAATATTATTGAAGTATCTTCTGATACAGTTTCTATATTTTCATAAGTGCCTATTTTAAGTTCTTCTAAACTTTTTGACATGTAAGAAGGTTTTGGCAAATCGTTTATCTATAATTCATCATGAAAATATTTATTATCTAGAAGTTTATATTTTAACAATTAAACATTATAAATAAGATTCATACATAAAGAAATAAAAAACGCAATATGCGTTTATGAGTAATAATATATAGAACATCTCCAGTAAGAGGGTCAATTACTGGAAGCCGATGTATTTTATTATTAATAAGTGTTTGAATAGCTAAAAATAATGACATGTCTGGACCAATGGATATTAATTCTTGAGGTCGCTCCTCATGAAGTTCATCTAAAATAAAAAATGCAGCATTAAAAATCCTTAATAACAATGTTTTAGTTATAAAATGAATTATATCAATAGGAGTATTGACTAGTATTCAAAATTATAGAAACATTACTATAAATAGCTAATTTGATAAGTCAGAATTTTAACACTAAAAAAAAACCCCCATTCATTATTTACCTATCAAGGAATAATACTGCTAACAATATTCTTGTTAACTATTGGATTTTAAATGAACTAGCAGATAACTAAAAAGTGTAATATTCGATTTTTCTAGATAGATACTTTAAGTATCTACTTAACTTTGCTTTAAGTATCTTTAAATATCATACTTAATAATAAATAATATTATTTGTATTGATTTCTGTAAGATAATTTTTTTTTTTTGCGAGACTGAATTATTTTATTTTATTTAATGGGTCACCTTTAAAAACGTAAAATTTACGATTAGTATTATTCATTCTTACTCGTAAATATTAACTCTTACTTCTCCAAGTGTCCAATTTATGTTCTTCTAGTTCTTCCATGCTTGAAGAAGGCGAGGAGTAATATTTTTGTAATATTCTAATAAAATCAGTAATGGTTAGCATGCCCACAAATTTTTGACGTTTGTTGTCCCATAGTGGAGCTGCTCGCACGCCATTGTAAACAAGAGCGAAGAACGCTTTTTTAACAATCAACTGTGTGTCAAATACGACTAATTTTGCACTAGTCGGTATGAGATCATAAGACTTGTGAAAACGGAAAAATTTCACAAATATCTGACTTTCATCTTCGGCTAAAATATAATATTATAATAATTATCTAATTATTAAAATGGAAACTTTTGTTTAACATTTTTTAAATTAAAAATGTCAGTTTGAAATTACCCAGATCAGTGATTTTGACTTTTTCGAGAAACGGGTCGGCTACTGGGAGCTGAAAATTTAATAAGTATTTTAAACATAAGTGAGAATTGTTAACAAAACATGCAAATAGATTAACATTACTTACCCCTCTAGAATCTCTAAACAATATGGCCGCGTGTGTAGGATCTAGTAAGCCGTCTGAACTTTTTCTGGAACTAGATATAGTACCAAGAGATAAACGACGAGTTTCAGGATCAAGTGAACTTCTACGAAGTAGAGCGCCTTAAAAAAATAAACAAACAATTAATTAATTTGTATAATTAAATATGTAAATAATTGTTAATGAAATCGAATGGAATATGACATCACGCAATAAATTAGTTGTCTAACAAAAAAATGTAATACTTAATGTCAATGGGTCACAAACGGCAAAACTTAATTTTTAATTCGTAAAATAACAATCTTCATACAAATATGGTAAACAAAAATACTACAGGTTTTAAACATGATATTATGACGTATCAATGATTTTTCAACAATATTTTACAAGTGTTAAATAATATATTTTTATGATAATTACAGACTACTACTGTAATACATTTGATTAATTTCATAAAATTAAAGATTACAAAAAATTTTAATTAGTTTGCGTTTCAAACAATAAGTGTACGTTTTCTATATGGATATTTTCTATTGTTTATAGTACAACAAATAGTACAGTAAAAATCTTCTATTTAAATTTGATCAGCTATATAAACAATGCAACTTTACATTATTTGTACTAATCAGTACAAATTTACAAGCCACAGCTTACCACGTGAATTTAAAATTCTTAGAACTTACTTCACTACTTTTGTAATGTTTAGCTATTACCATAATTATATTTTTGTTTAGTATTATACTGTACAACACTAAAAATATGATACGGACAATAGGAGGAGAATGTAAGTATTTTACATTAAAGCTGAAGCATACCTGTTTCTTATTAACNTATATTTTTGTTTAGTACTATACTGTACAACACTAAAAATATGATACGGATAATAGGAGGAGAATGTAAGTACAACTGTCTTACATCAAAATTAATGAATATATTTTGTAAAATGCATTAACGACAGATGAAAAACACATATTTTTATTTTAAGTATTAAAAGAGTATTTTATATTGAAATATTAAGTATTAAAATTACTGAAAATAAATACAAATTTATGGCCAATACTATTATTTTAACTTTACACAGATACAAAATAGTTACAATTCAAAACATTGAAAGTGTTAAAAGACATTTTTCTTATATTTTTTTTTATGTAAAAAAGTTAGAATGTCTTTTTAATTAAAATGAATCATATTTTCAAAAAAGTTGAAAAAATTTTTTCTCCTTACATTTATTGATGTAAGTAGTAAGTCAAGTATTAATGCGATCATAAAATATATTCTACGCGCGCCAAAGCAAAACATATTTGACACCAACAAGATTTATAGAAGATAAGTCTTTCAGAAGGATTCCGTTCGGTTTTTAAACGTATCAAACAAAACAAGTCATAAAAACTAAAAACTTGTATTCATATCATATCAATCAAAGGAATAATTTTTGTTGTTTTACTACATAACGCAATAATAATTGAAATTTAACACATAATATCGTCAGCAAAAATTTATACCAAAAACAAACGACAGGAAATGAATATTATATTTTAAACAAAATTTATTTAAAGTATAATAAAATTATATAATATTTAATATAAAAAATGTACTTTTATTTTTTTAATGCCACTTAATAATAAATAGCAATTAGTGTCGTGTCATTTCAAGATTTAAATTGCTTAAAATAAATAAAGCCATTGCATAAGTAATAAAATAGTGTTTCTTCATTTATTAATATTTGAGATAATTATTATTATCATAATAAGAAAATATTTAAAAATGTAATAGACTTCAATTAAAAGGCTATTGATTATAAACAACAAGTACAAAAACAACGCAGTTCTAATATTTTATGATAACGCAGTGGAATTTTATTTCTTCAATAATTGTCTTAGACTAATGTAATTTATTCATGGACACTAAAAAATAATTTATTTGTAATTAAAAAAATCCCTTTTTTCCACGTGCCAAGAACCCTGACTCACTGACTAAAATACTGTATAGTTAAGACACATATATTAGAGAGGTAGCAACTAAACTAAACTTACAATAAATTATTATCATACTTAATTGAATTTCAATATATATAAATATATTGAATGCCAATTTTGAATAAATAGTAATAAGTAGATTGAAACCAAAAAATAAGAATGGAATAAGAAGACAGGCGCAAAATCGTTATTGCAATTTATGCCGATTAATCTTATCCTAACAAACAAATTATAAGTCAGAAACCTGTTGTCTATCAGCTATTTATTTTTTGAAACATACAAGTTAATTAAAATTTTAAAGTGTATTCTTAAACTTGAAAAATATTTAACAAATAAAACAATGATGCTGTCAATTTTTAAACGATATAATATGAAAAAAAGGACACCATATTCCATACCTATTGTTTATTAACAATGTCTAAGATTTTTTTTGTTTTAATTTCATTTGGTCATTAAGAACACCGTAATTGAAATAACAAAACCATTTAGTGATGCGTGTTAACCGTGCGAATTTATTTCATAAATTCAATTTGCAGTATAATTTTCTGATAAACAACTCGGTCATAATTTATTTATGCAGTTGAATTAAGTAGGTATTATTTTAAAACGTCGTCACGTAAGAACATNGGTATTATTTTAAAACGTCGTCACGTAAGAACATTTTATGTGTACCGACAGTTTATGACTAGGCATCATTTTATTACTAATTAAATTACGATACATCATTGGCCGCTAACGATGATGAGTTTTATGTATAGTAATTTGTGTAACGACACGTAACAGATTATAAAAATTAGAAAAAAAAATCAATTAATCATAGACATCGGGTTATTTCAGGCCAATTGGTTTACGTAAAATATCACAAGAAACAGCTAATGCCGAAAAAATTCCCAGACGATTTCGTCTATGGTAAATATTCGTTTAGTAGCCGATCAATTTATGTTGAAACGTATCACGAATGTTTATCATAAAAACAACTTTGTTTTTGTTTTGAATAGTCATAATTTATGCGTTTTTTCATATTATTATCATATTGAAAAGGTGATTTACTGCGAACGCTAACTTTGATCATTTCCAATCGATCAAACCGGTTCTGTCATTAATCTCTTTAGATGTAGTACTATTTTTTTATTTTCACGTTAAATGCAATTTAAGTATTGCCTACACAACGTTGCTGTACTCGCCGAGAAAACTACTCGACAAACCGGACCACACGACTTCATAGGCTCATTTCCAAGGACGGCAGCCACTGGGGTACACGACATACCAATATGTTGCCACAATAATGCTAGTGTAGAGTAATACGATGCCTCGCACAATAGGAGTGTATTTGCGTTAAAGAGGGGAGATCCGAGGGGCACTAAAGATACTACACTTTCAATCTTCTTCGGACGTCAACCGACTGATTCGACCAGCGGCTATATTCGAGGAGGTTATTCGGCATGGAATAAAAAAAAACCGCGCACCAAGTGGATTGCTCGACAGGTAATGATAAAACATCTGAAAAGCGATGAAATAAAGAACAAAAACGTGGGTCAATAGTATGAGAAAATTGAATACTCGAGGACACGTGGACAGACGAACGTTTTTCAACGTCTTATTCGTGAAACGACCAACCGGTTGAAGTGATCTTTTATAGACAAATGAAAATTAACTATTCCAAAAAAATCGTCCATAAATAATTCATTAAATAAAAAATTATACAACTGAACGCTATTGTTGGTTAATTTTTTCTATCTACAGTTAGGTGTTATAATACAAACATTTACTCATTAATAAAACGATACGCAAAAATCGTTTATTTTATTCAAATAATCAATACACTGAAAAATTCATTTTTCTTCGGACAAAAAAAAAAATTACCTAATTGGACAGTAAGTAGGTTATAAAAGAATTGAATCTATAATTTGTTTTAAGGTCGTAAGAGTTCAAATGACAGATTGTTTTTACTTTTTTCTTAAGTGAAAAATATACTTGCATTTTTTTTTATATACTGTAGTTGACGCACATTCAATACTGCACTATCAACTGTCATATAATTGGTAATAACAAGTTCAAAACATTTAAAAAAATAGTCACTGCACTTTTGCTGAAACTCAAAGAGATTGACGAGTAATAATAGCGTATAGAAAAAAAATACACAGAAAATCCTCAGGCTCTAATTAATATGCTAGGAAATAGCCAATAAACAAATAAGCGAGTAAAGCAAGCATACCAAATTACATTACTCCACCGACCGCCGTGATAATAATTCACTCTCGTATACCAATTAACGTTAGGTATTTTTTAAATAAAACTATTAATTGACCTTAAAAACAAGATTTTGTAGGCGCTCGAAAAAAATAATTTGTATCTTTGTTACATAACAATACTAAATNGCTCGAAAAAAATAATTTGTATCTTTGTTACATAACAATACTAAATGACTTTATACTAACAACAAATGTGTCGATCTCGGAGATGGATCGTTGCGACACCAAACCGGTAAGAACGGAATGCAGTGCAACTCTGTAGACAATAGAAACGACCCAAGATGAAGTAATTGTGAATTCCGTTTTCACAACGTTTAGGTTGAGATGGCGGAGGGTAGTAGGAGTCTTTTGATAAAAACCGGGTCGTTTCGGCAACTGCAATTGTCCGTAGGGGTCGGTATAGGGTCACCGGCAAAAGTATTACCGCGAAGGTACACATAAATTAGTGAGGATGAAAGGGAGGGGTATTGATAACATTGCAAGGACGACCTTGTGACTCGCTATGTTACGGGACGGTGTTATGCTGGTACGAACAGGAAAACTATCGGAGCAGTTACAACATAAAATGTGGGTATAATATTTTAATGTGTTGCGTACCTTCTTTTAGTATACTTTCATATATTTTGTACGCGTCGCCGCTGTCGAGCACTGCCGAGCCAGAGGCCGTGAGCGAATTGTTTGCCTTCCGGGTGCCGTCGTCCAGCGACTTGGAACGGTTCCGGAACTGGCCACCGTCTTTCGGTACGTCCAAATAACACGAGGTGTGATTATTTTCAGGCGGCAATCCTTTGGACTTGTTCTTAGAACCGCCGCCGCCTCCGCCGACGAACGCCCGGTAAGCGTCGTGCAAGAACGAAGTGCGAGGCGACGATCGCCTGCTGGGACTGGGCGATCGCGACGACGACGACGAAAGAGAGTAAACATTTTTGATAGGTATCGGCGCCGTCGGTTCGTCGTCCGGCGGCGTTATGTGGCACACCACGTGCGGTTTAGGAATTGATAGACATATCATAGGTTTGGACGTCCCGACTTCCATGGCGGAGACACGGCGGTGGACACCGAGTAAATAAACTTGTTGATGACGTCGCTTTTTTTTAAACTCGATCAATTTTTCATCGAATATCGGTGGCCGCACATAATGTAACGATATAACGAATAGCAGCTGTCGTTACCTAACGTGTAAAAAACCGCGAACAATGATCGGACATTCAATACTAACAAATACACAGTACTGTCGGTGAATTGTAAATATTTAACTATTTAGCAGGGTGCTGTGGTCGAATGAAAACGGGGTGCGCCCGAGAAGCGATAGATGAATGATCCGTTTTTCGTGTACGCACTGCAACGCATACAGAACCAGCGGACGACTCGCGGAAAACGGACGCGAGGCGGAAAACGTGCGTGCGACTGGTTGCGGTCGACCCGGACCGTCGGCCGGCAACGACGTCGTGGTGGCAGCATTTCCTTCTCCCGACAGGCCGGCCGGCAGGCCACGCGCTCGTCAATGTTGGAGGGGGGCCGTCGAACAGCGGACCCGCGCGCGCACACGGCAACAGGGGCTCTACATGCACGCAACACTATCTACGAATTGGCGGTTCAGGTACCAAAGAATGCCCAGTGAATAACATGCACAGTGCTCAAGACTAACGTCGACTTTGACCGCAGCACTATTAATATGCTGTTGTTTCAATTTACAACGTCCATATGCATTACTATACGCCTACTATGTGCGCGTACGGGCAAAGGTCTACGATGAACACGCTCCGCATAAACTCGGAGAGCACAGAGGTGAAAGAGTCGATTAACCATTTTTTACTCATCCGTACAAAGTATCCCTATAATTTTTATCGATAAATGGATAAATTCGTTTCGAGTGAATGTATTTTACCGGACTTTAAAACCTCACACGATGTAAACAGCGAACGAAGAAAGTTTTTCGCGCGAATTCCGCCGAGCGTTCGTTTTCCCAGTAAACTGCCGGTGATTGGGTTTCAAATTATAAACATAACAAAAATAACACTCTGCGTTATTGACCAGAACCACGCGAATGTCTAGTAATTATCTCTTGGCCAATTATAAAAAATACAAACGATGCGCCGTGATCGTTTTCACGTAGGCATCTTTCCATCGCAAATTATCGTTTGAATTTCGAACAATATTACTAGGTTATGAAAAATAATTGAAATGCCGTTAAAAATGACTAATTGAATAAATGCGGCGGACAACTCGATTTATGAGATTACAAGGAAAATAATACACAAAGTTCGAATGTCGTTTGACAACCGGGTAGTGTATGTATTTTTTAATCGCGTAAGCAAAATACGTTATTACAGTTTCAGAATTCAATGACATTGAATTGAAAAAAAAAAACACGTTAAATGATTATATTATACGATTACATTCTATAGATTGTGATTGATATTTAAATTTAAAAATTATGTAAGAATGATCAAAAGAAGTTCATATAAATTTATTTCCCTCGTTTTTCTTTGTTTTCAATAAACCAATAATCATATTAGGGAAACTCGTTATTTTCTGACTTTCCCGCGTTATTATTTTTTGTTAAAAAATATCTACTATTAAAAACTATATTTTTCGAGTAGGAGTTTATTTAAAATCCCAACCTTTAAAACCATACGATACTTCCAATACGGTTAGTGTAATATTCATGTCAAAATTTATCCGTACTGTATTTGTAAATTGAGTTTTTAAAGAAATTTTAATCAACGAAATAAGATCTAAATTATAATATCAAAAAATTAAATAATAAGAAATAATCAATTATTTATTTCCGCGGTTTTGACGTTTAATTTTAATTCATGTAAACTACATATATTTTTAGCAAAAAAGGTTCATTTTATAATCACATAATTATTCGCTCTCAAAAGGTCAAAACATTTCTCAGGGCTTTTAGAATATTTAAATGCTCAGCAGTTCTGAAATGTACACAAAAGTAGTTATGCATACAAAGTCACATAATAAATATAAAACGTGAACTCAAGTTTTGTCGACTAATAACACGAATACATACACACTAAAATATTTAATAATTAAACGCAATCTACAACGCATATTTTATTATCCTCAGCTAACAAGTAACAATTTTGAATTTAAATATCACGTCTCGTGTATTTAAGTTGATCAATACAAATCGCTCAAATTATTGATTTGACACCAGGGAAAATGTTTGTAATTTTTCATGGAAATTGAAAAAAAATTAATAGAAAAATTTGACAAAAAAAAACCGCGCACATTAAACTGATAAATAGGATGCAAAAAAAAAATTCCACTATAAATTCATTCTATTGGTGTTCTTTCGGTAGTTAGTAAATATTACAGAGATCAAATCGAATTTCATTAAGCCTTACCACGGTAGACTATTGTCAATTGTAATCTACCACGGTTTAAACTTATCTATTGGCATTCATTACTAAGCGGTTAAAGTCATATCTTAACACGCTCTAGTTCTGCATTTGTTCATTGGTTGACACCGTTTATCTGTTTATTATTTTGAATAGAAATTAATAATATTGTGTCAAACTATTACCGGTTATGAACATTAAATACTTTTTCAAACAAGCGAACATTTTTAAAAGCCAAATAACGTTAAAAAACAATTATTATTCGTCAACCGAGATAATTAGCAAAATCAGCAATGATAATATGAACCACCTTGAAGTAAGGTTCATAGTCTACATCACTTTAGATTCAAAAAGGTTTCAATAGGCAATAATGATCAAATTCTTACATAAAATCAGTCTTAATGGTTTAATAGTAAACAATTACCTATCTAGAAAGAAAAACTGAAGTTATTTTTTGGGTAAACTGTGAAAAATAGGGGTACGAATTAAACTTTCGCGTTGAATCGTTTTTGTTTTAAAAATTATAAAGGACTATAATTTTTAAAATACATACAAAAAGCCTTTACTTTTTATGTAAAGGCTTACTGGACATATTTGTTTAAAACCTCCCTCTTTGTGTTAAGACGAAGTAATATGACCGCAAGGGCACCGAAAAACACAACGACTTGTTGTTTACAATTGTATTGCCAATTGCGCGTTGGTTAAATTCGCTTATCGAGTATAACAATAAAACACACGTCGCGTCATATAAAACACCGTCGCGGCAAATGGTAATAAATTCATACGAGTCAAAAAAAAATGCAGTCAACGTGGTTGGCAATGAAACACCAGATTCGAAGACCTGAGCGTTAAAAGACAACAATTAATAAAATAGCTTCGCGACAAAAATCTTTGGAATACACCATATGACGGATTACACGTGTATCCAACTAATAATAATAAAAAAAAATAAATATCATTAAAATGCCTAAAATAGGGCGGGTCCTTTTTAAATAATTTTTCAAAAGATATAATACGACATCATTAGAATTTAAACACGCAAATTACAAGGGCGGGTAAAAAACATGAACTCCCACTGTTTTGGCTTAATTGAACCGGCGAGTTCGTGTGATATGGTAATTTTTGCAGATGCTTTTATTAGGACACCATATAAATGTAATTAGTAGCCCGTCTTAATCACCGGTCACGTAACACACACGAATTTATGTAGGTAAAATACACATAACAATTTTACGAGATTGCTTACAATCTCGTCATTTCATTTCGAAAGTCCTATAGGGTAGTTGGTATATGTTAAATCTAACATGTCATAGAAAGCAACATAAATAATTCATTTGAGTTTAGAATATTTCATAGAGACAGTTAAATAATCCGTTTTACTCCGAGAAAATTTTGTTTGGTAACTCAAAAATTAGACGAATACTTGAAAATCAACATTTGTATACAAATGAAATTTATTAAAGTATTATCGAAATTAAAGGTTTCTTCTCCTAAAACGAAAGTCTTAAAGTTTCTTTTTTAATTATTATTATAATTTTGTTAAACAGAAGAAATACTCGTTGGTGGAGTTTCAGTTCATTTCCTCCTTTTTTAATTAAGTATGCAAAATGTGTTGAAAATATTGTGTAAAAAAAATATTTAATTTAATTAATTTTTGGAGGTATTGACAGTATTGATTGCACTTGAGTATCTTCAATAAAGCACTGTATTCATAAGCCTAGTGTAGTCTAATTTTTTAGGGTGCTCAATTTAACTTTTTCCCCTCTATGAAATAATTTTATTAAATTTCTAGGGGGTTAAGTCAAATGTTTATATGTGTATCAAATATGAGCTTACACTTTTAACAGATGGTGCAAAAAAATGCTACAAATATTCCAATGGATGTTTTCTAAACACTTAATATTGAACATCTGAATTATAATAATAAAATTTATTTTATAAATAAATAATAATTCAGAAATTCAGTAAATTGTTCATGCCATGAACATTTGTATGACAATTACTACGTTGCGTGGTTACTAAAGATATACTTTTGAAAAAATAACAAATATATTATCAGTACAAAGTTCAACACAAGAAGATTGTGATAAGTATAAAAATTATTGACGTCAGAGATAAAAGCACTACTATTCTTGACCCATTGCTATGACCTATAATAATAATAAAAATACCTGTCATCTTTTTTCAAACAATAATTAAAATGCATCAATTTAATGGCCGAATGATTCATTAATAATTACAACAATAATATTAAATTTAAACAATTATTGGTTTACTCACCTTGTGCTAAATTCGCATGTGGTATGTTAACTGGTCTCTGCAAAGAAAAACACAAATAATTAGTACCATAGATTGTCGTACATAGAACACAAGGTCAAATAAACTCTTATCAATGTCGGTAATATTATAACACATCCACAAATGTCTTTTAGATTTTCAGGTTTGGCAAATTTTTTTGGTGATTGGACTTTACTAAGGGTCTAGATAAATTATTAACTGTTTTAATTAAAAATGTGTAGGTGAAATAATTTTTAGAAATAGTACTTACATAGTTTTTATTTTTTACTACAAAAACAAACTTAATTTATTAAGTTAGGCGAGTTAATCAATATAAGTAATTTGAATCGTGTTTTTATTATTCATGTATTTATTTGAACAGAATTTGTACATAATAACTTTAGTTTAAGATTATCATCACGTTCAAACAACTTAAATACATACAGATATTCATTATACTCAACGCGGAAGCTAATTATAATTATTCCAAGAAATATTATCATATAATATCAAATATATTAATACTAAGACAAACATACAAAAAAAGTGTTCGGAAAATTTTGTGAGTAATGTTGCTTATACTGCAGTTAATAGCAATTAAAATTGCAAACACTGCGGAAGCTGACTAATAATGACACCCCCTCCCCGTCGATTTTTAATAGATAAAGAAATACCTTAATGATAATTTATTCATAGAAGTACCATCTTCTCTGAGTAAATAATTTTAGGGAATTTTTTATTTAAAAATTAAAAAATATAAGAAATTTATAAAATATATTCCAAAGCATATTACCATAGTAACGTATATTTTTGATGACATGTTTGTATACTAATAAAGTTAGTAACTTAGTAAGGACAAATAATTAATGGTTTCTTAAGAAATTAATATTAAAATAATAATACCAAAATATTATAACATAAATAATACTAAATAACCGGTTTTATTTATGATATAGACATGTATTTACCCTGAACTCTGAATACTAACACGAATAAAACATCACCAAAAAAACAAATTCAGAACAATATAAGGGATTGTGAGCAAAACCGTCTTGACCATTTAAAGTCGTAGCTGGATGACATTAAATGACTTAATTGTGAGATACATTTTGGTACATATAAAATGAAATATTCCCATATATATATATTTTTTTTTTTTTTTTAATTACACGCGATACTATGCATTAATATCTAAATCTATTTATGTATATCATACATACTAACCAATATATAAAAAAAATAAAGAGTATTGTATGCTTATAGTCAAATATAAATATTCTGCACTACAGTTAGTTAAAAATCATAAATATTACGTGTTAAATTTAAAAAATGTCGATGAATTTAATAATTTCATAACTGCGCAATTAACAGTTAATATCATTAATTGTACGAAAGTCATTAAATGGAACACAGATTTGGAACTAAATATCTATTTCAAAAATAAATGTAAAAAAAAATTGTTATAATTGCATAAATTTATATAATTCTTAGATATATTCCTATTGAAATCAATAATGACAGTTCAATTAAGGAGTGCCAATAAAATATTTTTATTACTTATAATATTGATTAAAATATTTATTATAATTCCTAAATATTTTGAGAAACTTTAAAGTTTAAGTTCTTGAATAATAATTAACTTTAATGTTATAGATGTTGTTAATAGTCCACTTTTAACTAAAAATTATGATTCATTCCAATACTATTTTTAATAATTTTAGTCTACAAAATATACACGTATGTGTAAATGGTCATCTACTTAGTGCTCCTTAGAAAGACCAAATTAAATGGTATTTTAACATATTAAAGTATTTTTAATGCTAAAACAAAAATGTTATCAATATAAATGTTTTAAAATAATAAGAAGAGTATTTTCACAAATTCATCGCGTATGACTTTTCAAAAACTTAAATAATCAAGATACAAAAGAAGATTCGATTAAAAAATTATTAACTGTTGAGAAATTTTAGTTTGAAATTGGTCAAGGAAGTCTGGTAGTGCTATTTTAATATAACTGCTTTTAAAAATTGTACAATAAAATAAAATTTTGTAAAAAAATTGATTGAATACAATCAAGAAATAAATTGCAATGTTTGACATATTAAAAAGCGTGGAAAACATAATAATTATTTGAAAATACTATAATTCACTAAAAACACAAGAGTAGCACGTGCTCTCCTCATAGACTATAAAATGCCGATATAAAAATGTTTTATTGACCTTTTTTTTTTGTTCATAATAGCTCAAATTAAGTAAAAATAAATTTTACCTTTCAATCGATGATTTCTAAATCCACCGTAGGTCAAAAAAATTTTTTGTTAATATTTCAGGGATGAAAATTTTGCCACAAAAATAAAATTATCAAACTTAGTATTCAAAAGTCTGTTAATTGATCTGTTTTAAAATTATGTATATGTTAAGGGGCAAACTGTTTATCATATACGACTTTTATAGTCAAAAAAATATATGTACGAGTTCTGTGGGGCGTATTTAGAAATTAGTAATAAACAGTAAGTACGTTCCGCTTTCTAAATACGCCACTCTAAGTACTATTGCTTAATACGTATTCATGTGGGATATTTTTATTTTCTTATGAGTTTAACTGTATTATTAAAAATTAATGTCTTTTTCAAAGGAGAATACTACTTTGCTAATGATATGAAAAAAGTTAAATAAAATTCATATTTTAAGACTGAATAAGAGTTTTTTAATTATCATTTTAATTTATAACACATCATGTCAAGAACTAGATTTAAGTTATACTTATATTAAAAAAAGTAATTATTTTTTAAAACAAGATTCAAATTTTAAATGCTGATAGCCTAAGTAAATTTCTTTCAGTGTCTCTAATTTACAAACGCGTCTAAAAATAAACATTTGACCATAAAACAAACATATTTTTATTAATTCCACTTGTACAGATATAATATGACAACATAAATTATGAACTTAAAGACATAAATTATGTAGCTTATTATTATCGCGAAGAGTCATTAAAAATAAACGAAACTAGTTTTAATAAAAAATTGTATTTTATGAAAAATGAAAATTCAAATATAATCACCACATTTTTATTATCCCATTTTCAAAAATATACAGTTGCGAATTAGTTTTAATGAAAACAATAAGAAAATCAATTCTAACACCTCCTTTTTAATTGGATATATATTTTGTTAATGATAATGAATGTTGTCCATGAATAATAATAAAAATTGGATGCTGTCAAGGTATTTTTATATTTAAATTAAAATAGAAAAAATTAATATAAAAACTTTAGTTGACGACAAGATTATTTTTGTAAATAGTTAACTTTTAATACAAGTTTTGCAAATATGAACATAACAGTGTAAGATAAAACAACATACGTAGGGTTTTTATCAGCCTTCTAAAAATCAAATAAGCTCCTATTACACACACAACTGATACTACAATTAAGTACAAAATTTATCTTTCCAACTCGAAATTTAATGTTCTATAATACTTTGAATTGGCCTTCAATCCCACATTATTTTATAGGGTTTTTGGTTCATTTACTCAAGCGTAATTACACGAATAAACCTCAAAATTTGCTGCATAATCATTATTAATTTATATAATGTCAACGAACTAAGAATCAATTCTTTTGAAATCCAAGTCGAAGCTTTACCAGCATATTTCTCGTCTTGATGGAACTGTGTAAAATAATTTTACTATCAGTCTTACACTATTTACTTCTACCATAATATTAGTTTACAATGGAAAATATATTAACTTAAAAAATATTCATGTTCGTATAGAAAGTCATTCGGTACTCCCCACTACACAGTATTACATGACAATGAAATAGATTAAAATGAACATAATGCTCTCCTGGTTCGGAGGCCTCACGCCGGAATTCAATATCATTACAGCACTAAAAATCAAAGTAAACATTCGATGCCTACAAGTCAATCCTAATTTACAAGCCAACGTACACCGATTAAAAATGAATTGTATTTATCGATCGACAAAAATAAGGCAAGTCATCAAAACATAATTTAAAACATACAGCTTAACGCCAAACAAACCTATGAAATTCGTCGTATTTTTTATGAAAACCCATTAAAAACCAATAAAAACGTTATCGGAAAGATAACGCAAAAGGAAACAATACGCTATTATTATTCACAACATTCCTACAACCAAAAAAACATTTTAGCTGCTAATTATTTGAATAAATCTTCTGGAAGACAAACAGTTGCACAAAATCAACACATACGAACGACCGATTGCGACACGTTGAAATAATGGCGGTGAATAAATAACAAAATGCCAATGGTGTATTCAATAATGACGCGAAAAGGGAATGATACGTACAAAGGGCAATGCGGCTGCCGTTAAGCTGGTAACCGGTAACCGTACAGTGGGTTGCAGAGTGGCCAGCTGGAAAGTGGCCGGCGACGTCGGCGCGTTTGAGTGCAGCTCGATTGGGTTGCCGCCGTCCAGCGATCTGCTACGGGGCTTGTTGACGTTTGGTACAGCCACCGACGGATCCTGCTGCTGACTGAACATCCATCGGAAATACCAAGACATGGCACGGGCATATTGGGCTTACGCCCAAAAAAATGATCACGACCACTACACAGCAGCGGTGAAATACCGGCACGCGCACAATATTTATGTATTAAGTTACAGTCAATGAAGCAAAACTCAATCAACAGCTAACGCCCGTGTCGCGGACAGATACGGACCAACTGCAGGTTGGCATTTGTAGTCGCTGCGTACAGTGGCGGCGGCGGCGGCGACGACAGTGAAGGAGGCGGTGGTACGGATGGAACTGTGAAATAACATTATCATGGGTGGGAACCGGTTCCCGTAAAATAAAAAAATAACTGTCCGCGGAGAAACAAATAAATGTTTAATACAAATAATAAAAACCGTAAATTTCTGCACCGTAATGGTTTACTAGCAACCTGATGAAAAGACCTTGGGTGGGGATGGTTTAACAAAACGTTAAACATAAATACATGTACATAATAATAGCATAACGGGTAATTAGTAGATGTGGTTCGCAAGGTCCTCCGTGACACTTTCACTAAACACCGATTCCCCTACTTCATAGGATATACACGGAATTATATACACATATAGGTATAATGAAGTTTATGGAGTGCGTTCCAACTTCAAGAATGTACGCGGACACTAACAATATGGAATAACACAGAAATTAATCATGTCCACCATCTTTAGACAAAAATATGTAAAATGAAAAATAAGCACACAGTACTAATAGTGAGTTGGAGGGTGTGAAGATATAAAATTGGATTCTATGTTTGCAAAAAAATCGACAGAAACCTGTTATTATGAAATATATTGAAAAGTTTTTAACCGGTTTGTTAATATGTAACAGATTAATGTATTTAACAATAAATAATGAGGTACAGAATATAGGCTGGTATGTTTATTTGAATTTTACAAGATGGGACATATAAAAAAAATAAAATTCCTCTCTTATTCAAATTAATAAAAGCCAGATGGACATCTTTTACCACAAATAATTCATAGCGTAGTTAATGTCTTTTCTTGTTATCAAAATCAAATTACAATTATGAGCAAATTGTGTACAAAATTGACAATCAGATATTTCCTTAAAAAAAAAAAAAAAAAACTTTCCCGTATGTCATATGAAACGAAATAATTTAACATGGACACGAACATAAAATGAGCAGACAACCAACAAATAACATTGATCTTAAAAATTAAAAATAACACTAACAACGCGAAAAATTTAAATAAAATATATCTTTATTGACAGTAAAAAAAATTATTCGTGAAAGTATAGTTCAAACTAAAATAGCTATTTTCAATGATGGCGTGTAAAATTTGAAAACTCGTACTTTTGAGAGGACTTTTTAAGACTTTACTTCGATATAAGTTTTATATCTGACCAAGTGTATGGTTCATTTGTATTAAAATTAAACATATGTATTAAAAATACACAAGATTTGAAATAAATACATTTGTGAATGTGAATTAATTAATTTTATATAAGAAAGTGAATTTAGGTAACATGAAAGAAAATAGATTTAAATGGTTGGGTCATGTTATGAGAGAGGAATTGGAAGCTGTAAGAACAGTTATAGAAAATGAATTTTGAGAGAAGTAAAGGTAGAATTAAACCCAAAAAGAGATGGAGGGATGTTAATGAATACGATAGGAGTACAGCTAATATGAGTGTAGAGGATGTGGGAGATCGTGTCAAGTGGAAGTTTAGGATAAGGGTGGCCGACCCTAAGTAGTTGAGATTAAGGCGAGGAAAAAGAAGAAGAAGATGTACTTGTGNATTAAATAAAGAAACATATACTAAAAAAATTGATACCTACATGATAAGATCATCTAAAAAGAATATGAGAATTTGTAATAAAAATTAACTTAATTACCCAGAAAATTAAGATAAGAAACACATTTATTACTAAGGTAAAACTGTCATAAATTTATAGCAATTTATAGTAAATAAAATGTAAACTTATAGAACTATAAAATAGATCTTTAATAAATATGAATAATTTAACTTACAATTTTGCGTTTGTCTTCTACAGTACTTTGAGATCTATGCCGGAACAAATCCATCATTTTAGAAACAGCACCTTTTGTACTAGTGCTGTCTGAACCAGCTCGTGGCCTTGTAGGTACTGCTGTTTGTTTATAACGATTTCGCGTTGTTGGTGGTGCTGAATTAGTAGGTTCAGTGTCTGTTGAAGAACTTGATCCACTGATACTATTTCGAGCACTTGAACCTGGCGATTTGAGAGTATTCTAAAAAAAATAATTGGGTACCATCTGTGTCATCATTTACATTATTATTATTAAAGCCAACAAATTTAAACTTATTATAAAGTATGATAATTATATTTAATCTGATAAAAAATGGAAATACATTAAATTTTTTTTATGTAAATATAAAATATAAGAAAAAATAACACAGATAAATGTTATCTAAACATAAATATAATTAATTAAATTGTATTGAACAGTTAAATTATAAAAATAATTATTATCTTTTGTAAAATTATAGATTAGGTTATCTCTCAAGAAAGCTCTTGTATAATAGATTTTGTACATATAACATACTTTATCTTTCAAGAATGT